GGGAGGCGGGGAGCGGGCCGCCCGGCGCCGGCCTACCTTGCTGCAGACGGCCTTCAGCCCGTGCAGCCGGTCCAGTGACTCCTGGGGGTGGCCCAGGTGCTGCTGCAGCTCGGCATGGAGGACCCGCATGGAGAAGGGCACCATGGAGCCTGCAATGGAAGCCAGAGCCGGGTGAGCCGTCGGCCGCGCGCGCCCCGCCAGCCCAGGGACGCCAGGCCCCTTGGCTTCCCTCCCGGCAAAGATGGCGGCAGTGCCGTGGAGCGCGCACTGCAGCTCTCCGCGGAGCCGGATGTGCGTATGGTCCAGATCAGGGGTCCCCAAGCCCCGGGCAGCGGCAGGTGGGCGGTGGGCCAGCGAGCACAGCGTCGTCTGCGTTGGTATCTGCTCCCCAGCGCCAGCATCACTGCCTCGGCCCCACCTGACCATCGGGCGTTAGGTGCTCATAGGAGCACCGGTCCCTGGTGCCACAAAGGTTGGGGACCGCTGGTCTGGATAATCACCAGGAGACGGGGCGTCTGCTGTTCTTGCAGCTGCATCTCATCCGTGTGGGAACCACAGATGAGTGACACGGCAGCACCTCACACTGCCTCTCTCGGGTCTGGGAGCCCTCGCCTCCCCGTGTCCGAGTCATCTGGAAGTGAGACCCTTGCTGCCGAGGAGCCTCAAGCTCACGAGGAGCCCCTCGCCCTCTCCTGCAGGGACGCGCCTCAGAACAGCGCTGGTCAGACCCTGCGGGAACAAAGCTTCCTCGTGGGTCCGTTCTTCCGGCAGATGCCACGTAGTCATGACCTGCCAAGGCCCCGGCTGGTCTAAGCGCTAGAGAAGCATCCTCAACAACCGTTTAGAAAGCACGCGACGAAGACGCTCCCGCGGAACTCATTCACACGGTCCCTCGTGGCCCTGTGGTGCCGTGAACCCACTGCCACCGCGAGGTCAGACGGGAGGCGTCAGCCTGAGCCGGGCCTCTGCACAGGGCAGTGACAAATGAAAGGACAGCAGGGAAATGTCACGCTAGTGGGGTCCGCCACTTCCCTCAGCAGGGGCTGAGCTGCTCCGTGCCGTGGCGACGCCTGGGCCTCCGGCCGCCTGTGTGCTGGGTGGACCGCGCCCTCCCTGGGCCGCTCCGTCTCCCTCGAGGCCCACGTTCAAAGGGGCTGGCCTGGCATTTCTGTCTCGCTCTCGAGTTACACGGGTCCTCTGCTGGGGTGACTGCTCTGCACGTGCCGGTGTCCCTTCCACTGCTGGACCTCGGGACACAGGGCCGTGGGCGTCTGTGCCTGGCACAGAACACAGCGTTGCGCCTCTGGAAACCAGCGTCTCCTCAACGGTGCCTTTGTGAATCAGAACGGTCGGGGCAAGGCCTGGAGCCACGTGTCCCGCACGAGGCATTTAAACGGCAGCTCGGGGGTGTCCCTGGGACCCGGAGCAAGGAGGAAAGCGCAGGACCGGCCGGGGGCACATCACCCTGCACGAGTGTGCGGTGGCCGCGCCCGACACGGGCGGGAGGCGGAAGCCAGGCCGCGTTGCTGCAAGGCATCTGTGTGGGACACAGGACAGGCCGGGACGGGCCTCTGGCTATGCCTCTGATGGCGAAAAGGGACCCCAAACTGAGCTTTCCGTGCCTTTAACGATCTTTTCTAAGGAAAGACTGGAAGTCAAGCCCATGACAACGGTGAGCAGAGGGGCTGACGGCCTTCTCTTCTTGGGGAAAGCATGCTTCTCAGGACGGAGGCTGTGTCCCTGGTGCTGAGCAGTGGCCTGGACCTCCAGCCTGATCCCAGCACGTTAACCGAGAAGCTGCGTCTGACACGGGAAACGGCGCTGGAATCGGGGCGTTTACCTGTCAACCATCGTATGTGGTTACGTGTCACTACAAGTTCCCAAACCTAGAAGTGTGCATTTCACGACTGTGGAGGGAGGGCAGAAAGGACGCAGGGCCCAGCGACACACCACCTTTGCTCACACAGAGGGGCGAGGGGGAACAGATTAAGCGTCCGATTAAAGTGTTTGTCTCATCAATTTTAGTTTGATTTGGCGATCCAGAAGGATCGAGGTCTGAAATAAGATTTCAGACAGATCATTAGAGTTCTAATAATTTAAACACAAAAATCCGAATTTAGAATTGGAAGAGGCCTGCATTTCTCAAACGATGCGCTGAAAATAATCAGAACACTCTCTTTTGAACCGAATGAGAATGCCAGACAAGACGCAGGGGGAGGTGCTGGGGGCTGGGAAGATCTCCCTGTGCTACGAGAGGCTGAAGTTACCTCCGTCAGGGATGGACACGTTAACTGAACCCGAACGGACGCTTCGTTGTTTTGAAGATAAACATATGACGAACACATGCAACACAGAGAGACCCTGAATGTGAACCACAGACGTTTGCTAGTGACGTATCAACACGGGTTCCCCAACGTGATGAACGTGCCACAGCACACAAGGTGTCAGACGACACGGTGCACCGCCTGGCGATGTCAGCACGAGCCCTGTGGGGAGAAGCACTCTGTCCCAGAGCGGCCATCAGAAAAATAAAAAATAATTTAACGGAACGCAAATCAGAGCGAGGCTACTCCCGGCTCGGGAAGACAGGCTCTCGACAGGAAGCGACGTGTGGCGTTTGGTGACGCCCCGAGCACAGTAATTCTGAAGCTGTCAGCGGTAAAGACGGCCAGAAGCACTCACGGCCTCGGGAGTGGACAGTGTCACGTGCCCTCCGCCCCAGAGGCGGGAGGCAGTGGCTCCAGAGAGGGCCGGGGGCCCCCTGGGCTGTGCGACGAGGCCCCACTTCCCCTCGTGCGGCCCGACATCTTCCACCCACACGACCTGCCCTGATGCTCTGCTTCCTGAGCCGCGTGGCGATTACACGTGGAGCGCTGGGCGGCCAAGTGTCACCCAAGTGTCAAATCTTCGGTGAGTCCCGTAGGGACATGCTGGACTTCAGGTTCAGGAGGAGGTTCGGGCACCGCCGGCTTCTCAATCCGGGACCTGGGCACAAGCCTTCTCAGCCCACGAGTGGAGTCTGAGCACAAGCTGGATGCCGACCCAGTGTGCGGGAAGAGGCAAAAACGGGTGGGAAGGGAGCCGAGGACGGGGGGACGGAGGCGGGCGCGAGGAAGGCCGCACACCTCGGACCCCCGAGCTCAGCGACCGAGTCGGCCCTCTGCTCAGCGCTCAGGGCCGTCGCTCTGCGGGGCAGAGGGAGCTCACTCCCTGTCCTGGGAGAGGACGAAAGGGTTGAGTTTCAGAGAAACACACGAGACCACGACACTGTTCCTTTCTCAGATACCAAATAAAACCACCGTGATGTTCACTCGGATCCATTACGTCATCTCACGAATGCTCTCCATGGATGAAATGATGCCCGATGTTTAAATAAAACGTATTAAAGCTCATTCATAAAACGTATTTGTTGGCATCGTTATAGCTTCCTTTTAAAGCGCATTTTAATGACTTGTTTGTTTGTATACTACGAACTGAAACGAAACGAACGAATCGAAACCTTACGTTTTCCGTGTTACTCCATGTGATGCCCGATGTTTAAATAAAACGTATTAAAGCTCGTTCATAAAACGTATTTCTTGGCATCATTATAGCTTTCTTTTTAAAGCGCATTTTAATGACTTGTTTGCTTATATACTACGAACTGAAACGAAACGAACGAATCAAAACCTTACGTTTTCCGTGTTACTCCACAGAACGAGACGAAAATGCGTAAGCGCCCCCCACGCCGCTGCGGATGAACGTGTGCACGTTCCAGCTGAGCGACGTGCGTGATTCACGCTTACTGCAAATCCCACTGCCTGACGGTGCCTGGCCGCTGCCTGCTCCCCCTCCCTGCTCCAGGGGCACCCGCACCTTTCCAGTCTGCTCGTCCCGGGGGCGGGGTGTCCCCGAGGTCGAGGGAAGGCTGACGGGGGCTTCCACGCCTGCGCACGAGGACTTGCTCCTCACTCCACAGGCAGCTCCGGTCAGCTCCGTCAGACCGGTCCTCAGGGCCGAGTGACGAGTGCGGCCGGCCACAGGCGCCACGGCCCCGGCTGCGACCGCGGCTTTGGCGCACAGGGCGTTGGGGCTGGAGTCGGGTGGCGCTGCAGGGAAGAACGGCTCCTAGTCCCGCTCGGCCCCCAGAGCCGGCGCACGACGCGTCTCCTGACGATGACTCACGGGGACCTCGACAGAAGGGGCTGGAGCTGTCGTGCGCAGGGCGCCTTAAGGCGTCAAGAGGCGGACGGGGTGCTCAACAGCTCTGAGTTTCTGCCAGCAGCGGGCACGACACCTACCAGCATCAGCTGCCGGTCCCCAGGCCCCGCGGAGGGACAGCTGTCTGCCCACGAGGGTCATCACGTGAGGGGGGGTCGGCTATACTCGGGCAGAGGAGGAAGAAACGCTGGCTTTTTTCTTTTCCACGCTGAAGGGAAACACAGCTGTTCTTTGTAAGAAGTATGAGAACATCACCTCCTGACCCTCAAAGCCGCGGGCACCACTGATGACACAGGGACGTCCCGGATCTCCCACTGGACAACGGCAGCAGAGGTGCCCGTTTTGAGAGTGAAGTTTGCTTATTGCCTCTATGGAAGGGATGGACCTCGAATGGCCCGGAAGTGTAGATGGGAGAGGAACAGTTAATTTACAAACTAGACGAGTGCCCCAAATAACCAGGGGGTGCCCGGGCCTCTGCCATTGCCACCTTTCAAAGTGGCAGGCTTGCCGGAGGGCAGGGGCTCCCCACACGCCCTGGAGTCGGATGCGTGACGCGGTCCTGACGGCCGGCGCTGCTTCCGCG